TTCTCCCTCTCCATCCTTCAAAAGAGAAATTCATCAGTGGAAAGTTTCCCTGAGGTGGTAATTTTCCTAAATGACTTGCTGATGGTGCCGCACAGACTTCCTCCGCAAGAGTTGGTGGTTCTGCATGCGATACCATGTCCCCAGCTCCTCTCCCTGGGCCTGAGAGGGGTCTGTGTGGGCTGCTCGTTGCTTCTGCCAGTAGAGTCCCTTCCCTCTGCCTTCCCATCACCCCTAGCCTAATGGAAACACTGACCCTTCCCCCTCTTCTGAATGGAAGCAGGGCTATTCAGAGGCCCCCAGAAGAAAGCTCTTCTTTCCAGAACTCTCTGAGCCCTGGTGACTGCCAGGACGCCTTCTCCATCCCAGCTAATTAGAGCCTTTTCCTTAAGCGGCACTTTAGTCCTTCGCGTCATTTATTCTCACAGTGATAATGGGCTTGGATAAGAGGTCACAGTTTCTCCCACATCGTGCTCTCCTTGCGGGTGGGGGCAGGATGGGCCTGGTCCCCCTTCTGTGGCACTCCCGCCTGCCTGTCACGAGGACTGGCCACTGGGCTCAGCAGCTGTGATGGATTCACCCAGATCGCAGGGCCAGAACCTGGGTCTCCAAAATGGCCCCTCACCCCACATTCGTTCAGGCTTCCCAGCCGTCTGCCACATCTCTGGCAAGTGTCATTAGCATTAACGTGATAAAATGGCACAGTGTAAATGTTAATAAGGTCTGATGCCTCGTGCTGCTTCCGAGTGGCAGATTGGAAATGGTACCGTCATCTTAACTCCAACGAGCAGCTTTTAATTCTGCTGCTCCCTGAGCAACCAATTTGGTATGAAAATCCTAACCTTCCTCAGTTCTCTCCCCGAGTCTTTACTGTGCCACGTTTACCCCCCATTTTCTTTTGCAAATAGTTTTCAAATTTCCCAAAGATCAGTTTTCTAAAACAGGGTTAGATTTTTTTTTTTTTTTTTTTTTTTTTTTTAAGTAAACACTCACTTTCCCCTCTTCTCCAAAGAGAAGAGAACCGAGGGGGGCCAGTGCCAACAGGCACCCACTCCTCTGACTGGGTTCCATCCCAGCCCAGGCCTCGTCACTCCCATGTTCCCAGCTGCGGGTCCTTTTCTTCCTGGTCCAAGGGAGGTGCCTGAGTGATCTGCCCTGGAAGCTCTTGTCCTCTGGGCTTCTCTCTAAGCTGGAGATGTGGCTGATGTACGACTCCTGATCACTCCTCTTCTCCACGCCCTTCACGGGGGCGTCCTCTCTCTGTGCCGCCCTGTTAGGTCTCCTAGGCGCCTCCCCCCGTGTCCTTTCTTCCCCGTGAACAGTGAGGGCCAAGGCATGTCATGTGTTTCTTTTGGATCTTCTTCTTCGTGCCATTTTGTACCCAACCCATGCTCATAGCCAGCTGAGTGCTGGGCATGTGGCTCCTCAGTCCTCATCTGCTGCAGAGAGCAGAATCGAGCAGGTGGCATCCCGAGGACAGTGCCGGGGCTTTGCCTAGAAAGTGCACTAGTGTCCAAACAAGCGCGAGTAGTGGCAGAGGAGCATGGCCCTGCGTCTCTCATTCCACCCCTGGTGCTCGGCACTTACCCAAGGGGACGCTGTTTGACCCCTGGGAGCCTCTGCCAGCCCAGGTGTACACCGAGTAGGACCGGGCCTCAGCTGCAGAGGCGGCTGTGTGAACAGCACGTTGTCCCCGTGCGACAGTCTGCAGGGTGCGGTCAGCCTCTGCCCTCCCTCACTCTTGTTTCCGTCACCCAGGCTGTCTTCACTCTCCTCCTCGGACCTTTCACCTTCTTTGACGTGCAGAAGACCAAGTACCTACAGATCCTCACCTCTCTCATGAGATGGATCGGTGAGTCAGAAACACTTCGATTCTCGGCCCTGTCTCCCTCGTCCCTTCTTTCACCTTTTCTGCGAGGCCATGTGAGCCTTCCCGCTGTGGCTGGGATGGGATGTGGTTTCCATTGACTCAGGTCTGTCTGGTCCTTCGATCTTTCCAGAAGGCAGAGAGGAGGCAGGTACTCTGCCTGCCTTTTAGTAATAGGGAACTTTATTGCCAAAAAAGATAAATGACTTTTTTGAGGTCACATAGTGTGGATGGAGCTGGGGCTAGGACCTGGGACTGCTCATTTTGGGGCCAGCCTCTTTTTCACATGACCACGCTGGGTCCCCACTGACCCACAGGCTGGCAGGTGGGCTCCCGAAGGCCTGGGTCGGGCTATGCCCGCTGTAGGGTACAGGGGCAGCACTGCTCTGCATTCTCATGGGCTTGCTGTGGCATCACTGAAACCCAGCGGGCTGTGTCTCTACCTCCCAGTCCCTGACCACCAGGGTGTGAAAAGACACCCTATCCACAATGACTTAAGACTGACACTTAACTGAGCAAGAGTGCCATTGTCCTCAGCTAGAGCTTGGGGGTCTCTTCCCCCTAAACCGGGTTGGCAGTGGGGAGCTCGTTCACTTCCACCACACCATCCCACCAGCCACTTCCAGGAAGGGGCCTGCTGCTGACCCACGTGGACACAGGACAGGAGGGTGTGGGAGCCCTGCTGCCCCCTGTCACCAGCACGTGATCAGCATCAGCTGGATACTTGGGCTTGGTCTAAAAGCACAGAAGGCTGCTGCTGTCTGACAGGAGGGCCCGGGCAGAGTGTTGTGTCTGGCCTCCAGGAGCCTGAGGGCGCTCCCCAGGAGCTTGCTTGCCCCTTGGCACAGGGCTGCTACTTCCTGACCATCTTCCCCAGCCCCCTTTCCCACTGCATTCACCCCTTCCCCCTCATCAGGACTTGGGAGCGGGGCGGAGCAGTTCCTTTTGCTCCTGATTCCACACTAGGACTCAGCAGTAGGTCATGATGTGCCAAGGGCAGTTTCTGATCCAAATGACGTCCAGCAGTTCTAGCACCTCCAATCCCCTGGTTCCCCTGACTCAGATCCCAGCATAAGGAGCCAGCGCACATGGGAGTCCTGGCATCTTTAGTTGCAAGGGGCTGCAGTGGTCAGGTAGCCCAGCCCTGCCCTGCAGGAGAGGCTCTGCAGCACAGGGGACCAGGTAAAGCTCCCGCTGCACTCAGAGGGGAAGTATGTCAGTGCCGGAAAGTTCTTCCTGCCTCAAGCCGAGCCTGCCAGTCTGTAACTTCTTCCCACTTTTGGTTCGTCCTTGCAAGGAAATGAGAGCAGGACCAAGATGTGTGATGGGGCAGTACTGCAGCCCACAGGAGCATCCAGGTGTGGGCTGTCAGGCCTCTAACCTGATGGGTGCATCCCATCATCCAGCCGACATGAGGGAGCGGGAGGACACCTGTCGGTACCTGCGTGGGGTGAACTCCTTGTCGGATCAGTCGGTCGTATCACGTACTGACTAGCAGGCAGCTCTTCCCATATTTCATTCACAAGTTCCAAAGCCCTGGGTTAAATTAACATGACCTCCTGGGAAAACATGAGAACTCGTTACTTAGTTCATGAGGATCGAACTAGCTCCTAGGACAGAGGTCGGAATGGAGCCTCCGTGGGTGCCACGAGGGACTGTGTCTAGAAGTCGAGGTCAACAGGGATCAGAAACACCAGCCAGCCACGCTTCTCCTTATTTCTCTGCTTGTATGAAGTATTTGAAAGCCCTAGTGATCTTCAGAGGAAAGTGTTTTCTCAGTAAAGTAGTATTTGGGGAAAACTATTCTTCCTTCTGGCTTCGCTGGCCTAATTCCATTGTTCCAGTCCCTTTGGCTCCCTGAAGCGAGGGGTATGGCCCCAAAAGTCTGGCCCCTGCGCTGCTCAGGATGGGCTGTCTTGACCTGCTGCATCAACGGTGGGAAGGGACTTGGTAAGCACCAGCACAAAAGCTGAGCTGCTTCCCGTTTCCTTTCCCTCATCCGGGAGGAGAGGAAAAGAGAAGGGAGAGGTGGAGGGGACGCCCGTGCTGTAGTGAGCAGAATGGATCCCCTTGTCAGCCCAGAGGAGACGGCCACCCAGATAATGACAGTTAATGGTGTCTGTAGCCCCCTGCACCTATTTAGTGCAACAAATTTCTCTCTGCGTCTGCTGAGCAATACATTCATTAAAAGGAAGAAGGTTGTGAACAGGAGAGGAGGAGGCTGACTGTAAATAAAGAGCAACTGTCTCAGCACAGGAGGCCAGATGTACCCCAGACGCAGGTCAGAAGAGGAGCCGAGCTGCTGTTGCTGGCAGGACATGGTCCTGGAAGGCGGCTCACACAGCCCTTGCTCCCTTTCCGTTCTGCTGTCAGAGACCTCTCCTCCCCCAGGATCAGGCGCTCGGTGGTGAGGCCAGATGTACCCCAGACGCAGGTCAGAAGAGGAGCCGAGCTGCTGTTGCTGGCAGGACGTGGTCCTGGAAGGCGGCTCACACAGCCCTTGCTCCCTTTCCGTTCTGCTGTCAGAGACCTCTCCTCCCCCAGGATCAGGCGCTCGGTGGTATCAGCAGCTCGCTTGCTTTAGAAAATCGACTGCTCTTTCCCCCGACGGTGGACCAACCTGTTCTCTCATGAGGCCATTTTGCCTCCTCTCCCCGCATCCAGATCCCCCTACCCCAGGGCAGCAGGACGGCCGCAGTTAGCCCCAGGCACTGCAATTGGAACCTGGAATTTTTGCCCACTGGGCCTCGTCCCACCCCATTCCCCTGTCCCCAGGGGGGCCCTGAGGTTTCTGGGTTCCCCGAGGCAGCCCTGCAGTGCTACGGAGAGGTGACAGTGGCTGTGACCAGCTCATGAAGGTTATCTGCGCTTGTATTTTTGGTGGTGACATTGTCGTCTTTGCAAGTCATTTGCCACTTCTCTCCCTTTGATCCAAGAGATAATCAAATGTCAGGAGCCTGTTAGGCGAACTCTCTCCAGAGTGCTGCCATGGGTGACAAAGCACAGGCAGGACAGTCTCAGAGCTCTGGGCTTGAAAAGTAAACCTGCCTGTGACACAGAGCTCTCCGCAGAAAGAAAAATCACCCAGTTAAGTAAACTAAAATGTAGCTGAGTCTAGGGTTCAGTTCCCAGCTGGGGGCATTGGAAGCACCTGTGTTTTTCTTCTCAGATCTGGTGGCAGGTGTTTTCCTCATCTGACCCCAGGCAGCAGCAGGTCACCAGGAATGGCAGAAGGGAACGGAAATCATAGGATCCTCTGGAGCCACCAAGCAGCACAGAGTAGACAAGCCCCCTTGGGGGAGGGACCTCAGTCTGCCTATTGGACGTTTGCAGGCCATCTGGGAACAGGGGCTGGACCCCACGGAGGGTGTCTGTCCTCTGGGCAAAGCTCAGCCCAGGCAATTTTTCTGGAACTCTAGGGTAGCTAAAGGCAATGATCTCAAAAGCCTGTTTGTCCTCTCAAGTCTCTGCCAAGTTGTCAGTTTGCAACGATCTCCCTTTTCATCTTGCCTCTGGAGAGCAGCTGTGTGGCCGCGTGCCCTGCACGACCCTCCCTTCTTTCCCACACTCCTGCCCGCACACCCTTCCGCTTCCCCTCCCCAGATTAGGGCCCAGCCTTTCCAAGAGCTGAGTGGGGAGCTCGGGGGGGCAGTAAGCTGGCCTGGGTTCCAGGAAGACAAAAGGGAAGAATGAGCACCAAAGGGACCGGAAAATCATAAATAAATGTGCTGAGCCGGAAACTTTCTTGCACTTAATTAGGAATTTGTTCTGCCATCTGTTGAAACAAGGCCGGGGGACATTGCTGGCCCCCAGCTCTGCTGCAGAGCCTGCAGGCCAGTTCCTCCCCGGGCTTTTGCTCTGGCCTTCTCTACTTCATTAGCCCCAGAAGCCCCCTCAGGCTGCCAGAATGGGGCTTAAAGGGTTAAATGGCCTTTATAAATAGCCACCTGTCCAGGGAAAATGCCAGAATGTGTAACAGGTGCCAGTGTTGACTCATTTCCTGTGCTCCCCAAATAAGTTCTGGGAAACCAGGTGGTCAGTTTGGGAGACCCAGATTGCACATGCCCCTGAGTGCACGGAGGGCCTCGGTTTGCTGTCCCCAGCAAGTAAGGCGGCTGTCCAGGCCTTAGCAGGCCTCCTGGCTGCTCCTTTGTCATCCAATCAGTCGGCGACCCCAGGCGCTGCCTCGGATCAACCGCAGGCTCCCGATCATGGAGCTTCAGCTCTGGCGGTGGTTTGTGCCGGGTGCCACACTTTCTGGTTGTCACACTGAGCCTCCTCGCTTGGTCCCCTTCAATGTGGGGCAGATGGTCTCCACTCCCAGCATGCACAGCAGACCCTGCCTCCCTCAGCCGGCTCCCTTGTCTGTGCAGTGGCAGTGAGGACTGGTCTCGCTGAGCAGCCATGAAGATAAAGTGGGATCACATATAAAGTGCTCAGGAGCACAGTGCCCAGCACCTGGTCAGCATTCAGCCGTGAGCCACCATGAGCATCCCCCTCATCGTCATCTTGGTTGGCCACTGCATCCCGAGAGTGGCCTCAGAATGTGCCCCCCTTGGGGCTGGCTATGATATTAGGGACATGACCTCAGCCACCTCCAGAGAGGACTACAGTGCCCGGTATCCACACTGGGGGTTCAAGGTGAGATCTTGAAGCATCACTGCTTGGCTCTGTACAGCTCTCCTCTGCGACGCCCCAGCTGTGGTCCCTGGTTCCCACTGGGAGGGGAACCCTACCTCAACCACTGTCAGGGGAGCTCTGAGCCAGAGAGAAGCGACAAGCATGCCCCTCTTTGGCTTCTAGCTCTCTGTCACCAGCGGATGGGCCATGGACACTGAAAGAGGTGCAGCTAAGGGGCTGTGCCTCGGGCCCACAGCCCAGCAGTGGTGGCCACAGAGTCTGAGCCTTAAGCAGCCCAACCCACAAGTATGGGCTGCTCCCACCTGGGATACTCAGCAGCTGCCCAGCAAGGAGCTCTCAGGCTG